ACCATAATACCATTAATATCTTTACTACTGCGTACACTAATACAAAGAATTTCTAGCGCTATGATGAACAGGTAAGCAGCGGAGAGGGGGTCTCCTTGTCTCACTCCCCTTTCAACTGCAAAGGGCTGGGTAGAAAATCCATTGTTTATGACACAACTTGAGATGTTGTTGTAAAATGTGTGTATCCATTGCAAAAATGATGAACCAAAACCAAAAGAGGTTAGAGTGCGAAATAGAAAATCTCTACTGACAGTATCGGAGGCCTTTTTGAAATCTATACAAATCATTCTCCCTTCAAGATTAAACCTTTGTGAGAATTCCATGACATCTTCTATCGTTCTGACTGCGTCGAAAATAGTTCTTCCCTTAACATATGCACATTGATTATAATGTATGATGTTTGGTAAGACCTTCTCTAATCTTTTTGCAATAGCTTTTGACCCTATTTTTACATCCACATTGATAAGTGAGATTGGTCTCCAATTCGACAAATCCCGTTTGTCTTTATCCTTTTTCTCAATTAAGGTAATAATGGCTTCCTTTTGGGAATTTGACAACTCACCATAATCATAAGAGTAGTTTAAACTGTCTACCATCAGATTTCCTAAAATGTGCCAAAAAGCTCTATAAAATTCAGCCGTTAATCCATCATTACCTGGTGACTTGTTGCTTTCAAAAAGCTGAAGACTCTTGTAACACTCGTCAACTGTTAATTTTCCATCACAGTTTCGAGCCTCATTATTAGTGAGTTTCGTTATTTCAGAGTTATTCAAGAAAACATTTAGCATCTCCTCTGATGGTCTAAGGGGATCATGTTTACAAAGATTGGAATAAAAATTTTGTATCTCTTGGAGAATTCTTTTGGGGTCTGTGATTAGCACACCTTCACTGTTAAAGACTTTGCAAACAGAGCTTTTAGCTTTTTTATGCGTTTCCAGATTTAGAAAATACTTGTTGCTTTTTTCGCCTTTCTCATACCATGTGGCTTTTGATCAAATAATGGCTCCCTTTGCTATCTGTTCATAAATAGAATCGTATTCCATTTTCAACATTTTAAGCTCCTCCTGATTCTCAAAGGTTGGTGACTCATTGCACTTTTCCTCACAAATCCTTAGAGAGGTCTCAAGATCAGATATCTTTTTTCTTTTTTTGAGCACTTTCTCTTTACTATACTTTATTGAAACTTGTCTGATTCTGTACTTGTCTGATTCTGTACTTAATTAAATCCCACAACAGTCTTTTATCTGTAATTTCTTCGAATTCCTTTAACCACATAGGCACACTTTCATTTATCAATGTGACAAAATCATCATCGTCGATGAGACTGGCATTAAATTTCCAAAAGGAGGGACTGTATTCCGGTTTGTCTAAACTATTAAGATGCGCATGCGCATGCGTGAGATCTGGATAATTATATTGGGACTCAAACAGGCAGTTGTAAAAAAAGCTTTTACATGTATCATCAGGTTCAACATTTGGACATCTGTTTTCTTAATTTTGTTAAATTTCACAATCATACTAAAAAATTTTCTAGGCTCAAATATCAAAGTTTGAAAAATTCTACTCTTTCTTCACCATCCACAAGTGTAAAATAGCTTTTGCGGTTGAACTTAAGGAACATGGCAGGGCTTCCAGCAGGAAATATCTCATATTTAATCAAAATCAAGGACATCCATTAATCACTGCTTTGTTACACTGGATCCACTGTGACCAAAATTGCCTAGTTACACTAACAGCGTTCATGGAAAAAAGAAAAAAAAATAGAAAACAATCACAATTGAATGACCTAGAGCAATTTATCTGGCACTTCATTGTGGCTTCTGGTACTTGGACTATCAACATGCCTGTTTACAGACTGTCTCCTTTGTTGGGGGACATACTTGCCCTATGCTGCAAGTCCAGATCTTTGAAAAAAGAAGAAACTTCCTTGGCCCTCCAGACAAGATGCTTTGTTGCAATGACTCAATCAATTCTGACTTCTTTCTTTCTTCAGTTACCACTCTCAGTCTTGTCTCCAGTTTCTAGGATACAATATGAAAAGTGTTAGACTTAGCAGACTTGCAATTAAATAAACAATAGTTGTGGTTAGGAGAGATAACATCATTTGAAATAGATGTTTGTCTCTAACTCACAATACTTAAAGACATTTCCAAAAATGCGTAGCTCATTGTACAACTAACATAACATTCAATTTTCAATATCAAACTTAGCTCAAGCAGAAAAACACCAGTACTGGCAATCTCCACAATCACATAAGGCATGGGTCGCACTGTTGACTTTTTAACTCGTGAATTGCGCACATGCGCAAGAGCGAGTTATAGATACGATGTGGGAAATGGCATTCGCTCGCTCGCTCGTTCGCTCGCTTGCTCGATTGGTCGATTCCTGTAAACTTTTTTTAGATTTTAGGCTTTTGAGTGCATTTGATAGTTTTTGGCGAGCAATAAACAGACGAAATGGCGACCTTTGTTGCTAAGAATAGTGGTGGGGTGAAAAAGAAGCCAATGATAATCTTAAAAGAGTCTTTTTTTTCGTTTTAGTTTCAACAAGTGGCGCCAGCGACTGGCAGGCATGCAAGGATTCACACTGAAATAACAGAACAACCTTCGTTTTTCATAATTTAATTTACAATCCTTGAACTTGAAAACAATCCGAAGATTCATTGAAAATATCACTTACTGCGAAGCGCCCGGAGTTTACAGATGTTCAAAAGCTTTTTCTGTTATGGCGTGAGATTGAGGACAAAATTGATCATTACGTTTCGTCGCGTGTATTTTTCCTGTGTGAAGCAACAAAAGATGCCGACGACTGACGAAATTACAAGTTAACACGAAAATCAAATCACACCTAAACAAACAATTTTAGCTACCGATTTTCAGTGAATTTTTAAAGAACAATTTTCTTTTAAGTTTCAAGACAATTTGAAGATTCAACATACATACAACGTACTAAAATGCGAAAGTTACACACCACAAAATTGATAAATAGGCCTGAAATGAAATTCTATCTTGTTATTGATTATACGTTGCCTAGCACGTGACTTAAATCTACCCAGGCGGAGATCCAAAATGACGGTGGCAGGCTTGGCTTAGTTATATCACTCAAAACTCGTCCCCTTTTTTCTCATTTGATAAAGAGGGAATCGTTAATGTTTTCATTAGACAATATTGCCTTGATTTTCTAATATTTACAATGAAAGACAGTAAATTTCACTTTTCACCCACATTTACTTCCAACTTTTTCTTTTGAACCAGAAACAAAAATGATAGACCTTTAAAACACATGACATCATCCACCCTTGTCAAATGTAATAGCATGATCATTTCAATTGTAATGCCTTCTTATCCCAACGTTACTTTGTTTCTTTGCTACATTAGCGAACACTGAACACTGAACTACTGCTCGTACTCAAGATATGACAATCAACCACAAAATTCCCTAAACCAGATAACATTAAACATAATCTAAAAAATCATACGTCAATTCACGAGTTTGCTCACAGAGCACTTTGATTATGTTTCTGTTGCACCATAAGTTGTCATGCAAATATGTTGGGACATTTACGCCATGGGGGTCAAAGGGGTCACATGTTTGCAACCTTAGGTGATATACAATACCAGTCTGGTAATTATTTAAATTTTCACACGCGTAAACAATTTTGTCAGCTATGAGGCTGGTGCTCATTTCGTTGGTGACTTGTCTCCAATCTCCTTTTAATTTCCTTAATCTACAAGACTTTATTGGTATATATGCTTTAAACAACAGTCACTGACAGCAAATGTTGGCTATTGTTGCTGTATATCAACACAGGCAGAGGCAGAGAAGAAGACAAAATTGACAATCGAGATATTGGTGTTTACGGCAGCCACAACAATCATGGTTCAAGATGTATTATAATGATCACAGGATTCCTGATGATTACTTTAAGCAGCAACTCCGGGTTTGGAGAGCAACTTTCAATGAGCTTTTAAACATGGTAAATCCACATGTTGCAGACAAGATACATACACAGGAAAAAATTGAGAGATTCCAAATTTGGAAATGCATTGATTTTTCATTGGTATAATAGTGGAAAATCAATGGAAGATCAGTAAAAAGTCCAACATTGGAAAAAGAGATACACTTTCCAACCTTGGTAAGTCAAAAACTAAAAATTCAAGGTTGGAAGGTCATTTTTGTATTACATATGTTGGTAAACTATGTAATAGTCCAACATTGGAAACAGAGAAATCCAATGTTGGAAGGTTATATGTTATATTACCAAGTTTGGTAATCTATGTAATATTCCAACATTGGAAACATAGGGATCCAAGATTGGAGGGTCATATTTGTATTACCAATGTTGGTAAACTATGTAATAGTCCAACATTGGAAACAGAGAAATCCAATGTTGGAAGATTATATGTTATATTACCAAGTTTGGTAACCTACATGATATTCCAACATTGGAAACATAGAATTCCAAAGTTGGAAGGTCATAGTTGTATTACCAATGTTGGTAATCTATGTAATAGTCCAACATTGGAAACTGAGAAATCCTATGTTGGAAGGTTATATGTTATATTACCAAGTTTGGTAATCTATGTAATAGTTCAATATTGGAAACAGGAAAAACAGATTATAGGGTTAATATTTTGATTATCATTAATTACCAAACAGTGAGCTATATAATATTCTAAATAAATAAAAATGTATGTCATGCACAGGATACAAGGCATGTTACCATATAGTGTAACATCACTGAATCATCATGAACACAAATTCCAGTTTAACTCGATATTTTATTTCTGGAGGTTGAATTTCAACATATCTCTTTTGCACTAAAGCGATATAGCAACTAATAATAATTATTGGTAGCTCATATTTTTCATAACTTTTGAACTAAACAAGCCACAGAGCAAACACATTAAATAAACAATCTTTTTGATATCTTAATCTCCTTCATTTTCTGACAGACTTGATGGTGTGGATGTATCAGTTCCATCAACTGATTCGGTAGAATTACCTGAAGGTGAACTACTTAAAGCCTCTTGTTTCTTAATGTTCTCTACATGCAGCTCTTCCACAAGATCTTTTAAAATTACAATTTGTTCTTGTTCCAACTCTTTGTAATTTACGTCTGGATTTGTAGTACCGACATATCCCTTTTGCACTAAAGCGATTGCAACATTAACTGCTAAGTCATATTTCCCTTGACCTCTCGTCTTAATCTTCAGGAGTTTGGCGGCAGGAGCTGAGTGCTTTTTAACACTTAAATTTCGAAATGTCGGAACACGAAAGATAACAGCGCACACTAACTGTGCACTGTAATTAGAGATGTCTTCAACAGTATCAGCAGTTTCCGTTGATTCTGGCTTGGATGTGTCTGTCACAGCTGAAATAGAACATTAACAGCAATTAAATAAAATCATTAATTTTTGCTGTGTCTTTAAACATAGAAGTATGGGTAGGTCATCAATGGGGGACCTACTATACTATTACAGCACAATATAGATACAGTGTATATAGGCAGCGCCTGCCTCCAAACCTAGTTAGTGGCTCATCATGCTGGTTGTTATTTCAGTATTAATTCCTGTTTCAGTAGCAGGAAGCAACATAAGAGTATTGCGTCTTCCCCCTGGTTGGGATGCTACAAATTGTATGTAGTTTCACTGCAGGAATACCAAACAACAGTTTTTTAGGTTCCTCCAGTACCAATAATTTATACACGTCAGATGTAGAATGAAAAGTGCCTTGTCAAAGGGTTGACAACAGGTACATATGGGTACTTTGTCCAACTATCTCCCTCTTTTATGGATGATATGACACTGGCAAATTTAATATGGGGCAGGTCATTGAAACAGTATTGATACAAAGCAATGTTCTGAGTGGACACTTACCAATCATACTCTGACTCATGTCTTCGAGATCTGAGGATGATGAAGCTTTTGCTCTCTTGGCTGGGGTTCTAGTTTTCTATCAGGATAAAGATAAAAGAAAGCTAGGGTGGCTGTATGCATCATGTCATCATTGAATCCATCATCGTGGTATTGGCAAAACTAAAAATCCATATGAGAACGTTTGCTTGGCTGGAAACCTTATTAGCTCTTCCATCAATCTCTGACACAGCATCTAATAATAATAATTATTGTAATGTATGCTTCAGCTTCATTGATAGTACAGCTGTGTATACAAATAAAAAAATACCTCAAAGTCATATCCGTCACTGATTTTTCGATTTCTCTCTGAAGCCCATCGGAGGATGTGGTGTCTTATGGCACCTAAAATAAATAAGATGAAAAAGAAGATTTCATGACAAAACAAGACTACCATACGATTAATACTGAATTAATTTTATCCTATGTGGTAGAACTGAAGCTTAGCTGACGATAATGCAGTGCTGAAAGTTATTCTTTGAAAATTATATGCTAACAGTTTGACCAGTCAAATATTGTTCTGAGATTGGAGTATTCTATATTGTAATGCACCTTACTGGCTAAAGACTAAAAGACAGCATAAAATGGTTTATGCCAGTTAAAACGGTTACCATATTTTGTCTAATAAACACTCAATTCCTTTCTGAGTTACTTTGGGGAGGCATTAGGTCAAAACTCAATGACTGAAAGGCAAGCCAGGCAGACATAAATTTATTGTTATATTCTTAAAATAACCAAATGATCTGAATTTTTAAAATATTTACATTTTCACAGACAAAACACCCCACGTGTGCAAGATTTCTTTACATTGTAAAGTGCAACTACTATTGCCATGGCCATCTAGTCAATGAAAACCAATCACAATAATATTGTGAAGCCAAAAATTGTAAATTTAAAGCTAATTCCACCTTCTTTATTGTACATGCTTGGTTTTCCACATTGTTTTGGGGAAATGTACATGTACTTGTACACAAAATTTAACATTGATGTCAACATTTTTACACACTTTTTTCTTTTCTTTTCTTTTGTTCTTTTTTTTGTTTGTTTGTTTGTTTAGCCTTCAGCACGGTCATTGCCGTTTGCAAAGAGACTTTTGGAGAGTTCCAAGGGCACAGTAAATTATGACCGATTGTCAGTCGGCATTCTTGTTGGTGGTGTTAAAAGTATGGAGCTATCTAATAGTGACTGCCAGACTATTAGCATTGCAAGAGGTGTTCCAGTTGATGATGTTTCAGTTATTGCATGGTGTTCCAGAAGTCTGTGGAAACCAGAACACTCTTTTGAGGGCTTGCGCTACAGAGTTGGTGAACATGTGATTTTTGCTGACCCAGACAAGGGAGACACTGTTGCTGTACTGGAGAGTTTGTTTTCTGTCAGAATTGACAATGTGTCTGTTCTCTTCTGCAAAGGGAAACATTTTAAATATCATGGAGGAGCAGACACTGGCCACGAGCAAGTCTGCCCAACAGATAACACAGTCATATTTGAAGCTTCACTTCTCAGCAGAAAGGTAATGCTGTTTGCAAGGAATGACAGTGATGATGAGCAGGAGGACGATTTGGGGGATGGTCAGTACTTTATTCTCGTGGACTACATAGCCGGGTGTTTCCTGTTACTGAAGGGACAGTTGTTGTTCCTTACTATCCTGTAGTCCATGACATTGTAGAAGTCAAAGGAAATGATGGGCAAGTCTGGAAAGCTTATAAGAGTCACAGTCATTCAACCTAACCCGTTCAACTGTTAATGCTAGATTTTTTGTAGAGGATGATACACAACCTGGTAAATGGGTACCTGAAAGAAGCCCAGTGCAGGTCATTCACTTCAACAGTATCCTTGGAATTTCAAAAGGTTACTGGCAAGCAGCATATTCTTGTTGGATTGATGAAGAGGAGTAATAATCAGTTCCAATGTTTTTATCATGATGATAGTATTCAGAGATGTTGCCTTGATCAAGTGTAAAACAACACCTTTCAAGGAAAGGAGTGCTGAAATTATGGATACTACCCTTAAATTTAACTATGAATATTTGTAATTGATTTGTTTTGGAAATTAAGGAGAAATTGAGCGTACAGACAAATCACAACATAGTTGTCTTCTTTTTTATTGAAGTTCTTGTAGGTAAACAAAAATATTTTACCATACACTTGTAAAGAACCTTCATTGTAGGTACGGAAATGTATTTTCCTTAATTGAATTGGACAAAAAAATGATGGGAAAAATGATAGTTATGATGGTTTATCACTCAAACAATCCGAGTTTGCTTCTGTGGTTTTTTATTGGATTATCACCTGTTAGAAGTGATATTCCAATAATTTACCATAAAAACCAACTTGGAGTTGTTTTGGTAAATGACTGGTTTATCAGTCAGTAAACAATCCAGACTGATTTAATAGTTTTTTATTGGACTATTACCTATAAAACATAATTTTCCAATAAACTACCATCAAAATACCAACTTTGATTGTTAAACAACTGATATACCAATGATCTTCCAAAAATCTCCTTTCTCCTAAAGAAATTATGAAATATTCCAATATTATTCCAATATTGGATAGTTTAATTCAGATGTTTTCCAATATTAATCCAACTTGGAATCTCTCAATTTTTTCCTGTGATATATGCAAAAGTTAACTGGACATTTTGCACTAAAGACTTTTCAGACAAGTCTTTTAGCACAAGTTTTGGATTGTTTGCACAATTCTTAGTGGTCATTTCGCACAATAGTTATAAGTGAGAAACATCAATATAAAAGAATTACGGTCAACTCGCCGACGGTCCAACTCGCCGACGGTCCAACTCGCCAACGGTCCAACTCGCCGACGGTCCAACTCGCCGACGCCAACTTGCCGACGCCAACTCGCCTACGTATAAAATCGAGTAGAGACGTCAGCGAGTTGGTCCTCAATCCAATACAACTTATTAGAAGTTAAACATACAGAAAAGTAAACGATATTTGGTAAAAAAACGCTGGTGAACATTGGTGAACATCCAACAGAAGCTTAAACATTGGTAAACATCACCAATGACTGTAACAGCTTAGGACGCAAACGAGATACAGCACACCGTAAAGACTCATCATGTCAATCGCTCAGATTTTTTAAAGAAAACTTGGCTTTCTAGACAAGATCTTTAGTAAAAAGCAATTATTTTTATTTGCAACAAAGTTTATAAGGATCTCAAGGCGAATCAAGCGAAGTAAACATCACCAATGACTCTAACAGCTTCAGACGCGAATGAGATTTATTGTGTGACAACAACACTGTAAAGACTCATCATGACAATCGATCAGATTTTTTAAGAAAACCCTGCTCTCTAGATAAGATCTTTAGTAAAAAGCAATTCTTTTTATTTGCAACAAAGTTTATAAGGATCTCGTGTCAATCGGTCTTATTTATTTAAGTCAAGTCGCTTGGTAAAAAGTCAACGCACAAATGGTGTTGTTGTCACACAATAGGGACTTTAAGGCAGGGGTCGCACTGTGGCCTTATTTTTCTTATGTCGTGTCAGAAGTTGTCCCATAAATATGTCGCGACATTTACACCACGGGAGTCATGGAGGTTGCACGTGCGCGACATAAATGATATTTGAAACCAGACTGTCAACTCTTTATATTTCACGAGCGAAAAGAGCGCCAAATATAATTTCTAGACATGAGGCTGGTGCTAGTTTTATTAGCGACATTTCTTCAATCTCTGTTTAATTTGTTCAATGTACAAAACCTTATTGGTTTGTACGCATTGTACAACATTCGCCAACGGCAAATGTTGGCCCTTGCCGCTTTAAACCAACGTCAACGGATGCAGAGAAGAAGAAATCGCTGATTTAGATTTTGGTGTTTACCACGGCCACAACAATCATGGTTTGAGATCCATTATAATGATCACCGCATTCCTGATGACTTCTTTAAACAGCAGCTCCGAGTTCGAAGAGCAACTTTTAATCAGCTTTTGAACCTCGTAAGTCCACATGTCGCAAGACAAGATACATCTATGCAAAGCTGTATTCCAGCAGAAAAGATTTTGGCGATAGGTTTATACAGATTAGCACATGGGAATTCATATGTTTCCATTGCCCCCGTTTTTAATGTCGGGAAATCCACGGTCATTGAAGCAGTACAAGATGTCGTGAACGTTTTATACGATCTGCGAAATCGTTACACCAAGTTCCCTACTACAATCCCGGAGATGACTGAGTGCATTGCAACTTTTGAGAGAACCAGATCCGAGTTACCAAACGTTGCAAGTGCTATAGATGGGACACATATCCCAATCATCGCGCCCAGAGAAGATGCAGTTGACTATTTTAGTCGTTACCAGCAGCATGATATGATTGTTCAAGGGATTGTAGATGGTACTGGGAAATTCATTGACGCAGTTGCAGGATTCCCTGGGAGTGCTCATGATGCAAGGGTTTTAAGAAACAGTAACATTTACCAAGAGGCTGAACAGGGAAACATTCTACAGGCTCCACGGATAGATATTGATGGGAATGATATAGGTCCATACCTAGTTGGAGATAGTGCTTATCCGCGAACACCCTGGCTCATAAAGCCATTTTCAGAGGGAACAAAATTTGTGCAAACAAAATCCCGATGAAAAAACCTTCAACAAAGAGCTAAGCAGGGCAAGAGTTGTTGTAGAGTGTGCCTTTGGAATTTTAAAGGGACGTTGGAGAGTGCTACAAAAATGCCTGGACAGCTCCCTCAATTTTGCCATCAAGATTACTATTGCATGTATTGTTCTTCATAATTTTTGTTTAGAAGCTAATGATGACTGGGATGATGATGACAACGACGGCCCACCCAAGAACGATGGAAACAATAATGTAATTGGTGGAGATGCCGATGAAATAAGGGGTGCACTAAAGGACTTTGTCTGCAGCAACGTATAGATAGCTCAAAAACAGTTTATTTTTTTATTTGATTTACAAAATTAAAAAGTTAAGTATGATTGTACTTCTGTCTATTTTTTCAAACTCGATCGCCACTTGTCTCGTGATTTCTGATGCTTAATAACACGAAACTTTGATATTCCATTATGCTGAAATGTGCCCAATCATTCAAACATGTCGCTATAATCAGTTTATTTTGAATCGTTTCATGGAATCATCTGATATTTGAAAATAAAACTCACTGTACTTTAAAATAATAATGATCATATAACGTATCAATGTGTAATGACAAGAAATCACTGCATTAAATCGGATTTTAACAGTAACAAAATAATAGTTTGTGTGTTTAACTCATTATTCAGACAGTTCATTCAGTTCATTCCTTTTTATTATTTTCCATATACTTATTAAAACAGCCAACAAGTTGGGACATGAGCTGAATTTGCTGTCCTTGCGAATCTTGCATCCGCTCCATAAAACTAGCCATTTGTTCCCCTTCAGTGGCAAACTTTTTGATGGCCTCGCCAATTGTATCATCTTCGCTGTCGCTGTCGTGCACACAAGCAGGCCGCTTTTGACCCTTTACTTTTGAGTCTTCTTGCCACTGAACTACCAGCAGTGCGACCAGCCGAACTGGAACTGCTCGACGCTTCAGCAGCACTTGTTTCTGGACTATTTGCCGAGCTTCCACTGTTTTCTGCACCCTGTGTGCCAGCTTGCTCCACGTTGTTACACGTGATGATATCATGGCAGCCAAGGACAGAATCAATTATGTCGTAATGAGGACTTTAGCACAAATTTCCCCCACTTTGCCGATGATTCCAGTCCTTCTTTTCTTTGTACTGGTTCTTCAAATGCTTAACTTTGTGCTGGCACTGGTCGACGTTTTTCTTTAGGCCTTGTCTTTCATTCAGTGCCTTGCAAATTTCCTCCCAGGTTTTGTGGCTATCTTTGCTTTCCACTTTTTCAATATTGTCAGCCCAAAGCTTCAATAGAACTTTTTCGTTGGCGAAACTCCATCTCTCCCTTTGATTGGACTTCTTTGCTTCACCTGAGGCAGCTGAAGGGACTGGTGATGGCTGGATTGGCTGGCGATGTTCAAAAGCCCGGTCAAAAGACGGCTGTGAGCTCGAGGTCGAAGTCGATGGCTGCGTGTCTTGGGAAAAAATCTGCGAGCCAAAGGGTGCGAACAATCCATTTCCATACTGCGAATAATCAGGTGAATAACGTAAATTCGTAAACTGGTATGGGTTGAAATTCGCCATAATAAAACGTTTGAAGAGAAAACCGGTGACTAAAATTTTAACCCGATAGCTGTAGCTAGCAGTTCACACGTGTTGTCTTTGCAGAATTGCAAAACTCCAATTTTTGCCCGTATTTCAGATTTGATTGACGTTGACGACAGAAGAAAAACAAAAAATTGTTATTTTAAGGCCATTAGACAAGATATGACCTGCTTTGAGGCAGGACATCGGCTTGTTTGATCTTTAGGTCCTTCGGACATAGTTATGTCTGGGCGCGACAAAAGGGTTGCACTTGTCGCAAGCATGTGATGACAGATTTTATGTCCAATGTAAACACCAAAAGCACTAGTGCGACCCCTGCCTAAGATCCAACAACGCGGATGTTGTCAAATATACCGAAGCTGCATGGGGCCTGTGTCGAGGACGCCGTGTTCGTGGCGGGAAATTTTAAGTTATGATGACGGGATTCAACGACGCGGCTACCCACGGATAGAATAAAAGGAGTAGCGAAATTACTTTATTTCTGAACAACAGAAACCGATTATAGTATTGTTTTCAGTGCAAATGGCGACTTTTAAGAAACTCGCGAAATTTTGCTGGCCAGCTATGCCTCTAATATCATTACAATTGAAGAATATGCTTTGCTTTTCGAAGAAAACAGTTCTTCAAATTCGGCAATACTTCGTATGCGACCAGGGAACTGTTTGCGAAGGAACAGAAGGGCTTTGCATGCTTCTGAAGCGATATTCCTTTCCTTGTCGATACTCAGACATGATACCTATTTTCGGAAGGCCAGTACTAGAACTTTGCATGATATGCAACACCGTAACAGACTGGATTTATGCACATCATAGCCACAGAATCACACAATGGAACTGAACCATTTTAAATCCACTAGAGCTGGAAAAGTACGCGGAAGCTGTTTTTAACCAAGGGGCGCCACTAAGCAATTGCTTTGGTTTCGTAGATGGAACTGTGCGGCCAATTACTCGACCCGGGGAAAACCAGCGATTGTTATACAACGGCCACAAACGCGTACATGGATTGAAATTTCAGTCCGTGGTCCTACCAAATGGGTTGATTTCACACTTGTATGGTCCAGTAGGTAAGGCGTGATACTAGCAAATTACTATGCTTATAATCAGAACAAAGTTTAAAACAATTGTGGAAAAAGTGAGTACGAATTTCATTGGCTTTTCCATTGACTACCCTCACCCTCACCCCCAACCGGCCCATTTTCCCCTTGCTTCTCTTCGTCAGCAATAAACAAGTAAACTGCCTGTGCATAAATATTGCTTTTTATCTATATACTTAAGTTCTAATCTTGTCTAAACAGAAGGAAGGAAGCATGACGCAGCAATGTTGGCAGAGTCAGGCCTTTACAACAGTCTCCGGACACATGCTGTCTCAACAACCGGCCAACCGATGTGTATCTATGGGGATCCAGCTTACCCACTTCGGATACATCTTCAGGCACCTTTCCGGCAGCGAGTACTGACTTCCCAACAGCAAGCTTACAATGGTTCCATGAGTGCAGTCCGCTCCTCCGTTGAATGGCTTTTTTCTGATATTGTTAATTATTTCAAATTTCTTGATTTCAAAAAGGAATCTCAAGATTGGGCTTAGCCAAGTAGGCAAAATGTACATCGTCTGTGCAGTCCTTCAAAATGTTTTGACATGTTTGTACAGTAATTCAACATCCCAGTTTTTTGACTTAGACCCACCTTCCCTAGAGGATTACTTTTCCTAATCATGCAGTCTGTTGTGGCCACCCGACATAATACTCAAAAAACTGTTTTAGATTATATGGGAAGATACCAAGAAGAGCGTATTAATGTCAAATAAAATTAAACACAACAAATAAATCGGGTTTATTATGGTTGTCAGCATCAATGTTAATCTATCCAAAAAAATTTAAATTTTGAACCTTCCAAAAACGTTGAAATCAAGTCTAAACTACAGTCATCAATTTGAACATCTAACACAGTTACACTACTAATATATTGCTTTTCAATGGAAGCCCAGACTTAGTCCAATAACAACAAAGTGAATGGAGACCTGAGGAAATTAAAGCAGATTGGAGTTTGTTTATTTTGGAACTAGTGTTTCAATAATCTTCATCAATGCTGTAGTTTGCTGCTGCTGTTGAAGCATTAGTAAGGATTGCATGTCATGCATTTGCTTCTGTTGTTCCTGTTGTTGTTTTATCATTTGTTTGAAAATATCCCTTTGCTGATTTTGTGCTTCAACCATCTGCTCCTGCTCCTGTTTTCTCAAATCCAATTCTTGCTTCTTAACATTCATGTCTTGCTCCGCTTTAAGTTTAAGAAACTCAACCGTTTCACTACCACTTCTTCTGCATTTCTTTGCTTTGCTCTGCCCCTCCTCGGACTTTCTCTTCTGAGTTTTCCCCATTGTCTCCATAGCAGTCCTACGCATTTCTTCTGCTTTCAGTCTGTCTCCCTCCATCTTGTTCTTCTTTTCGCCGTCGTCCAGGTCGTGCTGCTCATCGGCAGACTCTTCCAAGGCAATAATCTGTTCTATGGCTACGTCTACTTCTGTTTTCGTAGAGTTTGTACCGCTTTCCTTCAATTCCTTAGCCTCCTTTCGTTTGAATCGTTGGACCAAAACCCCAATATGGTCTCGAACTGAGCGTTTATCCACATAAAAAACAGGATCTGTGATGCCGTTTAGACAATCATTAGTCCATGCTTATGTAACTTCAAGGCTGGATTATTGCAATAGTATATTATATGGGTTACTCAAGTACCAACTATCGAAATTACAACGCATACAGAATATGGCAGCCAGGCTTATAACGGACACAATGAAATTCGATCATATTAAACCGGTACTTTACAACCTTCATTGGCTGACAGTAAATTATTGTATTCAATTTAAGATCTTAATGATTACTTTTAAGGCGATTCATGGCATAGCTCCTGGTTATTTAAGTAATCTGATCATCGTCTAGGTATTCATTACGCAATAATGATACAATATTTTTAGAACGCCCAAAAGGGGTTATGCACACAACTTTAGGTGCCCGCTCGTTTCATGCCTCTGCGCCTTGCACACATCCGCACGATTGATTCGCTAACGCTATTTAAGAAATCTCTTAAGACCTATCTTTTTAAGCAAGCGTTTTAGATTCGCATTACAATCTTATTGGTATTTTGTAGCTTATTTATTTACTTTTTATTCATTCATTCTTTCATTATGTATTCATTTACCATCATTATTTTATTTTAGTATTGTTATTGTAATTATCTATTGTAAATAGCATTTTTATTGTAATTATCTATTGTAATATTAGTTTTCTTGGATTGTAAAGCGCCTTTGATCATCCCATAAATGTTAAAGGGCGCTATATAAGTAAATAAATTATTTATTTAATAAATTATTTAATTATTTACTGAGGATGTGTGTGAGGTCATTATAAACAATCTTTGGAATGACAGTGTCGTTAACCATTTTCCAAAGAATGAACAAGCTTTTAGAGAAAAGATGCTTGATATGGAACAGATGTGGCAGTTCCCTTGCTGTTGGTCAGCGATTGACGAATTTCACATCTCTATTAAATAAAGTAAAGTAAACTTTATTCACACAGGGTAGCCCATTCAGCTCTATGGCTGGTATCCATAGGGGCCCTGTTTCTTAAAAATAATTTACATTAAAATTCTCAATTATATATATACATGACTAGAATTTTAAAACTACATTAACAGCCTAAGACTACAAAGCCAAAACACAATTAAGACCTAAAATATTAGATAAAATATCGAAGTTAAGATAAAAGAAATGTCTTTATTGTTTTTTTAGAGGGCACGGTAACGAATCTTGCAATCTGATTGGTTCTTTACCCGGTCAGTATTTTCCTATCTCTGCCCACGGGCCACGGTAACGCTTTCGTGAGTCGCCGAGTACATCCCAACTTTCGTTGTCATTTTTCATAAATATACCTCGTTTTCCGGCTGGGCAGTATTTTTAAGCAAACACGTCGGTCACTACCTCAAGCCGATAAATAACTTATGAATCCTCTCTTTTCTCCCTATCAAATCACTTTGGTTGACAGAAAAATATTGATTTCAGAATGAATTTGTATAAACAATAGTGTCATTACGTTGGTTGACAAGCGGCCTAAAAACCGTCTGCAATTAATTTTAATCGTTCACAAAAAGTACCCAGAAAGTTGAAACGTGAGGTATTTGGTTACAGTTAAACTGAACGATGGAACTTTCATTCATTTAATATCTGAATTTTCTCGAGCAATTTGTTCATAGTGAAAGAGCGAGCGAAGTTTTAATTTAAGTTCTACAACAAATATACGCTCCCGGTGAGTCTTTCCAATTCCGTTCAATTTGGACATTTGTACCTTAAATTGCACAACAGAAATTGAAGGAATTTTTTGAGAAAAGGCCGCATTACATTCCCTTGTGTCTCGTTGGAGTGTGCCGTTCGAATTTAGTTTTTGTGAAGGAAAGATCAGAGTTAAACACGCCATTACAGCAAACAAACGAGCAAACTCTCACAACTTCAAAATAAAAAAATTGAATTTACTCACAATTACTTTCCTCGCCGTTTACTTAATGAACAGAGGTAAATCTTCGTACATGAATGAATGGTCGATGAGAGTGAATAATACTTTCCGTTAGATCATTAACTGATTTTGAAGAAAACATTGTCGTGACAGTCCTTGCCAAACTAGTTCTGTTGGTTTTCAAATGTTCCTACGCTTTTTTTTTTCTTGCGCGCTCTCTAATTGACAGGTGTCAGATTGTGACAGATACTTGTAAAGATAATGTTTCAAAGTTTGTTTGGAAGCCTTTTAAATCACCTTTATCGTTACGGAAATGAAAATGTTTCGCTGAGGCATCTCTCTTAAATTTGCATCACCTCTATTTTAACTACCATTTACTCACTCAAAAATTGTTCAGTTAATGGAAGATCTTGCCGCATTTACGGCCATAAATCATTCGGGTTCTTTCGGAAAGAATTTCGTCAAGTTTAAAAACAATAAATATGTTATTTACCGGCTAAGGGTCGGTCCGTATGGTGAAAAACTGTGACCTCGATCTTGAAAATGCTGCCCTCGGCCTACGGCCTCGGGCAGTATTTTCAAGACCTCGGTCACAGTTTTTCACCATACGGACCTCCCAGCCGGCAAATAACATATATTGCTTGGCGGCAGAACGTTTGAATGTTTTCACTCTTCACAATCTTTAAAGGGAGTTTATTAAAAATTTCTGTGCCAGTAAAAAGAAAGGTCCTTTTCCCAAAATTTTGTTTTACTTTTGGTAGGGATAGCCTCATACTTTGCCTTGTGAAATAATTGTGAACATTCGAAAATCTGATATAATATGATGAAAAGTAACTAGGAACTAATGAGTGAAGACAGAGAAAAACGAGTTTAACCTTGTGGTAATAGCGTCTACTGGAAAGAGTCGGCCATTGCAGCTGCTCTATTGCTTCAGATGAGCGAGAGCAACTTGTAATAATCCGTGCAGATCTATTTTGTAAGCGCTGTAGTCGATCTATATCTTGCTGTAGAAGGTTACTCCAAGCAATGTTACAGTAATCAAATAAGGGAAGAATTATAGCATTATGAACAAGTGTTGCTGCCTCTTTTGTGACGAATCTTCTAATACGGCCTGCGAGAGTCTTCCAAGTCATAAAATTGTCGAACACCACGCCTAGGTATTTAAAAGAAGTAACGCAAGATATGGACTTTCCGAGAAGATTAAGAGTTAAGATACAATCGCGCCCTTTATGCCTTCAAGATGTAAATAGTACACACTTAGTTTTTGAAACATTGAGAACAAGACTGTTGTCTTCTAGCCATTCAGATAGACACTGAAGATCTTGGTTAATGTAAAAAGTTAAATTGTCTACTGTTGGGCCAGCAAGATATAAAACTGTGTTGTCAGCGTACATATTTACAGAACAGTGTTTGACACAACGTGGTAAATCATTAATGTAGACAATGAATAACAGGGGTCCGAGGATGGACCCTTGCGGCAATTCAGAAGTTATGGCAAGCTCTTCAGGTGATTGAGAATCAATGAGCACAAACTGCTTTCTTCCCGTGAAGTAGTTCTTAAACCATGGAAGGCTTTCGTCACATATACCATAATACTCTAATTTTCTAAGCAAAATGTCATGGTCAACTGTGTCGAAAGCCTTTTCCAGGTCAATAAACACAGAACCAGTGACTAAGCCCTTATTCATATTCATGAGAATCTCGTCAGCAAAATAAGTTACAGCCGTCTCAGTTGAGTGCATTCTTCTAAAACCGGAACGTCCCTATTAAATGTCTCCCGGGAGGTTTAGAGTCATCTAAAGAGTACAACAATTTTAAAAACTTTTGCTCTATCTTGCTAATGGGGATGGTCGATGCCAAGTACAGGTTTATGTGGGCAAGTTGTAGGTATCCTGGCAATTCACACGACTCAATCATCATCGTGCAATCAACTACGTTATGGAAAGAAATAGCACAGGGTAAAATTGTTCCAGGGATTGCTAAAAATGTTGGCGGGGTTGATGTACCTCCTTTAATAGTTGGTGACTCAGCTTTTCCCTTTCAGACCTGGCTGATGAAACCATATACCAATGTGGTCCTCACTGAAAAACAGAAATACTTTAACTACCGCCTAAGTAGAACAAGGATGGTGAATGAGGGTGCATACGGTCAGCTCAAGGAGCGATTGCGAGTTCTATTTCGAAGGAATGATTGTAGTCAGAAGAATGTGCGAAATGTAACAATGGCTTGTATCGTACTACACAACGTATGCATAAATCATGGAGACTAATTCTCAGGAAAAACGGATTTAACAATAGAGCATTTGCAGTTCCCGACGCCATATTGGATTAGTAACTGCGCACACATGATAACGAGGCTGGGGTTGACCCGGCGGTTCTTTTAAACAGCTGATCTGCTAACATTTCACGTCCTAATGCACATTTTAATGCGAGTTCTCCCTTCAAAATGGTTCTTAAATACAATGATATAGAAATTTCGTCTTTAGATGACATGCAGAAACTCAAAGCAAAGAGATCTCAGGGAAATTTTAAGGTCTAATTCAGAATCGACGGGCGGAATGAGAGCCAACGTAGTGATGAAAGTTTATGCTTTGCTGATGCGACATGTCTTTCCATCGACCGGTGGAGAAAACCAAGAACTTCTTACAGATATCCAGGACCTAGAACAAAACCAGAGCGACTTTAAATGCGAAGGAACTATGGTAAGGATTTCAGCCCTTGGATGGTTGAGCGATCTCCGTAACTTACCCGAGATGAATTTCATTCAGCTCTACGATTACCTCGTTTCCACACGAAAGTATCGCCACATCGTGTTGAAAGGAATGCATTACAAAAAGTTGAAATCTTATCAGTGCTTCTTTAAGGGAAACGTGAAAAAACTGGAGAGTAAAGTCTTTGAAAACAAAACATATGTTAAGGCAAATGTTCTCCCCTCTATGAAGAAAACGCCTTACAGAGCTATTCTCGAGTTCTCACTTACCTACGATGTGCTACGCGCAGCGTGTACGTGCCCTGCTGGCCTCGGTCTCCAAGGAAAAGGAAAATACAACCACATCGGAGGAGTGCTGTTTGCTATCGAGGATTTTATAAGAAGAGGGTTACAAAATAACTCAGAGCCATTAACCTGCACATCGCGGCTCTCAGTGTGGGTGATACCGCACAATCAAAGTGTAGCTGCGAAGCCAATCGACGAAGTATTGATCAGAAAGATTCGATTCGGTAAGAAGAACTTAAGAACCCAGCCAAAAATAATAAAGTTTGATCCTAGGGCCCCAGACATGAGAACACGTGATGAGACTAGCTTCAAAAAACTCTGTGAGAACCTCCAAAACTGCTTGCCCTCAAGTTCCTTCTTTCTCTTCCACTGTATCAAATCTAAATGCAGAGGCATCACCTTTCAATCAGCCTCAAACAATGGACAGATCGATCCAAAGGAAGTACCCTTTACTGACAATTATGACATTGCAACGCACAGGTTTAAAAGTATTGTAGACGAATATGTTGCAAATTTAACAGCCACCAGTGAAGAGATTATCGAAACTGAAAGGATCACAAGGGGTCAGAAGAAAAACCCCTTGTAGATTGAAAAACGAAAATCGCTTCTAACACCTTCAAATTTCCGCAAGGCCGCCAAAACCAAAGTTGAACCTACAAAAAAACTTAAGGCAATGCTCTATTCGAATTTTACCACTGAAACTGTTCAGTATAGCATAGAAAGCGAGGCAAAGGCTATAGCCCTCTATGTCAAGGAGATGGAGCAGGAAGGAATCACTGTTAAAGTGGATGAAGTTGGACTTTTGCATTCTAAAGATAAGCCCTTTTTAGCAGCAAGCCTGGATGGAATTGTAACAAACCTAACTACCCAGGAAAAATGGGGGATAGAAATTAAATCACCATTAAGCAAAGTGGGCATGAGAGTGGAAGATGCATGCAAAAGTAAAACCTTCTTTCTGGAAAAACTTAATAAAAAAAAAGTATTTGTATTTATTTAAAGAAATATAAGGTTTACAAAACTTCATGTCCTGCAAATAGCTACAATGCTAATCTAGGCAGGACAAGACTTTAACTAAAGGCGTTATTAAATTACATAAGAGAAAAGAAAAGAAGAAATACAAAAACATACAGAAAGAAACACCTTACATATAAATTCAAGTACAAGGGATTTTGTTATTTGAAAAAGACTAAAATTACAACTAGAGGTATATACAATATATCAGGTTAACTTCACAAAATATTCTATTAAAAAATTAACATTCAAATAATTATCTTCATTACCTAGAACATTAAGGAGTAGTGATTTAATTTTTTTTACGAAAATTAGAAACGTTGAGAGTCTTAACAGAAAGTGGAATAGAATTCCAAATAGACACACCGATTCTAGTAAAAGATTTTTTCATTTTTTCAGTTCTAGAGAATTTGACAGAGAAGCATTCTTTTGCAGATAATTGCGTATTATAATGATGTTCTGTATTGATTTTCGCAAACTTATCGAGAAGACTTTTAGGAGCTGTCTTAGCATGAACGTCATACATTAAATAGCTTAACTGTTGAAAGAACAAAGACTGCAAAGGAAGGCAGTTTGATTCAATAAAAAAAGGGATTGCATGGTCTCTGGGTTTAGAAAAATAAATCAAATGCAGAGCACGTTTTTGCAGAACAAGTATCTTATTGAGGTAGGTCTGTGGACAGTTGCCCCATGCACAGATACCATAATTTAAATAAGGAGAAATAAGTGCATGATATAAATTCAAAAGAAGACGCCGTGGAATGTAATGCCTCATTTTAGCAATTATTCCAACCGATCTACTAATTTTGTGACAGATAAAGTCAATATGATGCTTCCATGATAGTTCAGAATCAATCATTATACCCAAATATTTAACAAAGTCCTTCATCTCTAGAGTTACTCTAGTATTTAAAGTTGGATTAAAAATCTTAATTTGGGGAATGAAAGGCATTCTTTTTTGGTGGGGACGAAAAATGACATAATTAGACTTTTTGACGTTGAGCGTTAGTTTGTTAGCATTAAGCCATTTGCTTACTTTCTCAAGTTCATTATTGACAGTTAGTTCAAGAGTACGTAAGTTGTCATTTGCATAAGTTAGACTTGTATCGTCTGCAAAAAGATAAAAAGTAAATTCCTTGGAAGATTTATGGATGTCATTAATATATAACAAAAATAACAAGGGTCCAAGTACAGAGCCTTGAGGTACTCCACATACGATCGTTTCAGTTTCAGATATGCATGTGTCTATTTCAATAATGATGGAACAATTAGACTAAAAAGAAACCATGATTATTATATTCAAGTTCAGGGCCAACTTTATGTTGCCACAGACTTAAATATTGAAAGTATTCATGTTATCGTCTACTTTGGTGAGGAAATACCTCTTTTCAAAGAGAAAATTCTTATGGAAAGCCTTCGCTGGAATCAAGAACTCTTACCTAGACATGAATTTTTTTTTTCAAAAGGGCTCTCTATCCTGAAATGCTAACCAAAAGGGTTGAAAGAGGCAAACTTTTGTACTTCCATGGTGGGTGGCAGCCATATGGGCAATATTCATGTTCAGCAAATGGACTGAAGTTAAGATTTAGCAGGGCCCATTAAAACCTTTGAATTCTGAAACTCCCATAAGTGATCAAAAGAGAATTTCTCGTTAAAATATCAATACAATATCAAACAGAAAAGGAAAACTTCAAATAGGGAATTACTAGTTGATTCAAAACCAAATTCTCCAAACTTGTATCATAAGAAATGTATAGCAGACAGTGGGAAGAGTAACTAAAGGGATGCTGCGAGTGAAAGGGTTAAATTATATAACGTACTTGTAACCTTTTTTGTCTGTGGATTGGAGTATTTCAATTAAACTACTGTTGATAAGTTGACTTTAATAATGGAGGAAGAAAGTTTGTCAATGAGGCACAGACTTTGACAATCTGTGAGGCATATGAGCTCAAAGTGTTTGGAAGTGTTCCATCCAGTATATGGTAGGTCTTTATCCTCCTCCCAATTGCGCGTTCGACATGTATGCGCAAAGAGGCTATGCTCATAGTTTCCTGAGTTTCTACCCCAGTCATCTGATCCCTTCCAGCCAAGAAAGGAGGCATGTTTACTATTACGCCATTTGACACAATATCTGAAATATCAAAGCCCCTGTCAACCATGACATTGTCACCAGGCTCTAATAGATTGAGAACACCACTTCCTCGTGTGATTTGCTTGTCTGAAACTCGTCCCCCCCACAAGTCTGAAATAAAGGACACCTGACCATTTGGAGTAACACCCACCAACACTTTCCATGTGTTATGGTGTTTGTAATCTGACCAAGTTTCAGATTGTGCCAGCATTGCAGATGGTCGTTGTATAAATACTTCACTGCAATCCAAAATAATTCTTGTGGTAGGATATTCAGAAAACTCTTGAGGCATGTTTTTTCTAACTAATTCTTGTAATGGGAAGGGAAAGAGTCCAGGAAGTTCCATGGAAAGAAAATTTACCCATGTAATGCAAATACGTGAAACAAGACTTGTGCTTATTCCAAACCTGTCAGGAAGATCACGTACAAACAATTCTGCCTTCAGTCGCAATAGGACAAGAACAAAATCTTCGAGGAAGGTGAGTGTACGTCAAGGTCCTGGTTAAATTTTGTTCTTATCCATCTGATAGGGCTGACTTTCCTTCAAGAGTTTCTCTCCTTTCCAGTACTGCATTTTACTGACTTTGGGTTCAATATAATTATAAAAGCTCATCAAAGCCTCATAATTGGGAAAGCTAGTGTAAAAAAGCATTGCTGCATTGTCGCCTTTAATTTTGTTCAGAGAAAACTGGCGTGCAAGCAAAGCTTCCTTCTCCTTCTCCAACTGCAATACCATTTCCTCCAGTGTGGACACTTGCTTTTCTAGCATTTCAACTCTGCTGAGTAAATTTAGCACTGTAGCTGCAGGATCCACAGGCAGGTCTGGCATACTCACATTTATAGCAGCATCTGGTGAAGCTGAAATAGTATCATTTAAAGCACTTTCTCCAGTTTCAACACAAAATTCATCTTCCTCTTCAACAGTTTTTAAACTTTTAGATGTTAAAGAAGTGAAAAGCCTTCTTCTTTGGAGGGGCTTCCTCTTCGGAGTTTCCACCGTCCATGTAAACTAGGATGGTTCAGAACCTGAAAATACATGAAACAATAACATTCAGGTTCATTTAGGTTAATAAATTTGGGTCCAAGACAAAATGAAGAGGCATGCATCAAGTCTTATAATCTTGGTGGCCTTTATTCGTATATTTCATTGAAATATAAGTTGAAATAGAGCAACCAATAAACATAATATCCGATAAAAACAATGTAGTGGTGAAATCGAAATTAGGGTGATCAGCAAAAAATGTAGTGATGGATGAATATAGTCTTTTGAAGACAAACCTGACACTAATTCCCAGCGGCCTGTTAAAGTTTTCCGTATGTCTTCTTTTCGAAAATGTTTTGAGGAAACCACCGTTGAATTTGTCACGAAAAAGCCATCTTTCCCATGCTTACGTTTGATGAGATTGTACCATCGAATACCGGTCACTTCGCAAACGTGTCACTTCGCAAACTGTCACTTCGCAAACGTCCTTTGTCACTTCGCAAACACATCCAAGTCGATTCGCAAACGTCTTCGAATTATTTTTAAAAAGGTTGATATAACTTCATATTATGTTTCTTTACAATCTTTTATCGAAGAAAGTTATAAAATTAAGAAGTAATGTAGTAAGTTTTATCAGCGTGAAAGCTTACTTTTGTCATTTTGGAAGCTCGGCAGGCATCCAACTTCTTGGAATCTTTTCAATAAATCTTACCTAACTCAGTGTCTCGAAGTGTCTCAATGTCTAGCTTGCTTTTTCATTATTTTCTATCCTTCTTATTGATGTCTTATCGTTACTGGGATCTTACATCAGACGATGACTTTCCTTACTCATGTGAATATAGTCATCGGGAGATCGGTACGTTTCGTTCGATGAAACGATTTGTTATCGATCGATCGCATACCGTTCACTTCGCGAATGTAGTCGCGATCCCAGTCGATTCGCAGACGTGTTCAAATTATTTATAAAAAGGTTGATTTAACTTCGAAAGATGTTTTTTTTATCATCTTTTATCGGAGAAAATAGCAATGAATTAGCATTAATCCGTTTACTTTCCCGTTTGGAAACTCATGCCGGCATTCAAGTCGCATGTAATTAATACTTCTTGGAATATTTGCGATAAATCTTAGCTAAACGGTTTCAGCTAAACTCGGTTTGCTTTCTCATGTACACCAAACAATGCATTTAGCTCGAAACTCTCGAAACTATGTCAATATTGTCACTGGAACTGCACTGGAACTCATATTTCGCCCATTTATCTGGTAAGTATTCGTTGTAGTATTTTAGTACTAAATAATTGAAACTGACTCCGGATTTGCTAACTCACACGCACTTGAAAAATAATAGTCACTACTTGTATAAGAAAGAGGCAACGGGACTTGCTACCAAATATTTTATTTATAGAAATGCTTACATCACTAGGAGTAAATAAAAATAAGTCTTACAAAATAATTTTTTTATATTTATAATTACAGCAATTTTATTTTTAAAATTAGTAATATTTACATGTAAAATTGATATGTATAGATGAATTAATGTTTTTAACTTAATTGATATACAAATAAGCTACGATATTTTTCTAACATGTAAATGAATAACATAAATTCAAGTGATTTAAGTTAACCATGGAATATATACCATTTCATCTAGTGTAATGAAATTTGTTGGAAATGAATTTATCAAAAATTAATCATGCCTTGGCCCATTGATCTTGGAAATTGCCCTTAAAAGTTCCCTCCCTGTCCTCTCCCTCTTCTCATACTTCTCCCACTCAGCAAAAATCCTCCCCTGTAAAACCCTATATTTCCTCCTTTGCCCCCTACTTAATTTATTATCAGAAACTAGCTTCTTTACTATTGACACAAGAATGCCTCCTGGTGTAATAATTCTATTAGCATGTAAAGTGGCAGGTCGGACTTGCCGCTGGCACGTCTGTTGATGGCATTGTGCCAGCCTTCCACGTCATTATTTGTTCGGATGGGCTGGCTGTAGACGCACCAGCTTCGTGGCTTGAAGAGTGGGTTCTTGATCCACTGGGCTTTTATGTACTCAACTAATTCCATCATTTGGGGGATGGTGCCTTCTTCTGCTGTTTTGTAAAGGGTCTTGAATTGGGACTTGATTTCTTTTACAGGAAGGAATGGCAATGCTAGTAGTTTCCGTATAAATTTATGACTTCCATCATCTTTTTGGTACTGTGCCGCAAGCCCGATCTCCTGTACCTATCAAGCAAGACAGAAATTAATGATTAACATACACATGTGTGCACTGCGAGTAGGTGGCGTAGGACCTTTTGGATGCAATGTTGTATGAATACCCACGGCTGTCCACCAGTTGCTGGTTTTGGCGTCTTGATCCCCCCTCAATAACCTGGAAGGTTATCAAGGCTGGGTCAGTTGCTGGGGCTGGAGCTGGTTGAGGCATTGGGTCAGCCATCACAGATTCCTCATGTATCACGGGTGCTGACTCAGCTGCAAAATAACAGAATAGCACTAAGTAAAAATAGCAAACAATACAATGAAGCAGTACAATTTAACTTATAATTACTAATACTAATCTGCCATGGTGTACTGTTTGCAAAGGTCCATGTGAGTAACATTATTGATATACTAAGTTTATAATAATTATGACTCACCCTCGGATTCATCATCACCGGAAAACTCATCCTCTGATTCAACTTGATCGGAAGACCCCTCTATGGCCAGCTCATCTGGTGTCCCTGCTGAATTTTGATAATATTGTAACACATGAATAACTCATTATAGTGTTTTGAATTGTCCATACATACATCATTTGTATTATTCTTCAACAGTATTCATATATTGTTTAAATAATTATTACTTACCATGGCTAACTAAGGAAGTAACTATCCCATTTACTAAGTAACTATCTAACTAAGTTACTAAGTAAGTAACTATCTCAATAAAGTATGGAATTATCTAATTAGGTCACTAAGCAACTAGCCCATTAACTATGTAACTATCTAGTTAGCTAAGTAACTATCTAACTGGTAAGTTACTAAGTAGTTAATTAATAACCAGTAAGTGAGTACGTAACTATAACCTAAATATTTATCAATGATCTATATTTCTTACCTGCCATGATTTCATCTTCAGACAGGCCATTATTGATCATTGTGTCCATTGGGTCTGGAAATGAACAGCATAATTTCGTTAATGACAAACTATAATATATTCTAACACAACATTAACCCATTCCTATTCACTGCATTATCTAAAACTCAAGCCGGTCATTTACTTTACTTAGTTGTTGGAAAAAATGTACTTACCATACGCAGGTGTACTTTGCGACAAATTTGGATTAAAATCCACTGAACAGATCATGCATTTCCAATCAATGCTTTGATCCAATCTAACAGCTGATCGGTATTGGTCCTGGCTTATTCCCGTTCCACAAGTTCTATGGCACCAGTTGCCACAGCTGTCACACAGCAATGCCTATTGCCTTGTGGTGACAGGACGATCACACGATAAACAAAGATACTCTGAAGACATTTTAAAAGTATGCTCGTATTGAGTTGAATGGTTGAATAATGGTAAGAAATGGGCTTCAAGTTAGCCCCTTATATACCCATGTAGCAGATCGAAAAATTCAATAAAAACCTGCTTATTGGTTACTTTGACACATATGAAAGCATTCTTTTGGGAGGGCAAAGTTAATTGATCTGTTTACAGTCCTGTTCTGGACTAATTGCCAATCGTAATCATGACATCAATATCACATCAATTGTGCACAAAAGACTTCGAAGCGAAGAAGAAATGGCGTCCACCAAATTTGAACTTAGTGGATTTTTGGACACGGATATCATACTATTTTTTTATGGCGCGTCACAATGACAGATTCAAAACAATTCGGTTTAACACGATCTTTAAAACAAGCCGTTTTTTGCCGAAATTGGTCCAGTATTAGCCGAGATATTTAAAAACGGACATCGAAGATACGTTTGCGAAGTGACCGGTATTCGAAGATACTCAACCTTCGATCAAAAAAAAAACTCAGAAAGTATCTTTTTAGACAAACAATACTTGAAAGATATATCATATGGAGCAGTTATTTATTTGATTTTTCGGATGAGAAAAGAGAATGCCATAAACTCCCACAAATACTCTAATTTCTGATGTCGGCGAACTGGCACATTTGTGAAGTTTAGAGATGTGATGGGTAGATTGATGGGTGCTGTTGCATGGTTTTTCTTTATAAGTAACAAATCGAGAGTCTAATAGTTAAGTTTAGTTTATAATTACACTTCCATTCTTCATACAGAGTTATGCACTATATTTATGAAATATTATTGCTAATTGTGCAATTTCATGGTTTCACATTTATCACCCGTTGGAGTTTGGGTTTGTTTGCTTCTGTTGCTACGCGACTTGTTACGCTTGGGACGGCATTGCAATCCTCCTTTTCCTCCGACACAGTGTTCTTTCTTTGGGACTGTTGTTGCCTTCAAATCAAATACATTTCTTGTTGCTGTGCAAAACTAAGTAGTTGTACATTATTATTAGCGTTTAGCAGTTAATACGTCTAATTCTTCAACAACTCTAAGGCGGTTTCGATCGAAGCATAGATAGATGTAAATTTCTGTCTTGTTCCTCTTTTACATCTATCTTGGATATGTATTCAATACCCTGTCTTCACTTCGTGCATTCCAGCTTACACGGTTGTCGTCAATCACACAGAAACCATCACATTTGTAAATATTTGTAAATACTAGAGAATAGTTTAGTAGATCATTTAATGGTTTAATAAAGTGATACTGTGTGTGTATTTTTCTACATTGCTTGTCGATCAGTCGAGTCACGCAATCAATTCATCATTTATAATGATTAAAAGTAACATGATTCTCTTCTGTTGATTTTCGTTGATTCATATTACGTTTGCGAATCGACCGAGGACGTTTGCGAACTGACAGTTTGCGAAGTGACACGTTTGCGAAGTGACTGGATACCGTACCATCGGCGTCTTCGGTTCGTATCCTTCGGAAACTTGAAGAAGTGCAAGCTCGAAGGCAAACCATTGGGACCATAAAATGTATTTGAACAACCAAAAGCGACACACTGCTTTCCTTTTTTTTTTAGAAGAAGAATTACCTTTGTCGAGATTTCGGCAAGGATCATCCATTTCCATAAAAATCGAACAATTTTACTACCCACGTGCGAATTTTCACCAAAATTGCTCACAGAGATTTAACACGAGTCAACCCCAGCCTCGTTGTCATGTGTGTGCGGTTACTAATCCAATATGGCGTCGGGAACTGTAAAAAGGTCTATTGATCCTGTGACTGGAGAGAGAAGAGACAGGGAATTTATAAGAAACCTGTTGCAAATGATTCGAAGTCCACCAGTTCGAGATTCATGTCACCAAGCCACTTTAATTCGTAACTGTCTATCTGATAAGTTTTGGAGAGAGAGAGAGAGAAGAGCATGGGGTCTGTTGAATAGTCCCCTCTTTGTCAAATTCACTTTGGGATTACTACAGTGAGATACGTTGGGCATGTTGTGTTGTCATAATAGTTTAGGAATTGGAGCTGAACTGGTGCATAATCAACGACGAAACATGATTTGTCTTGATATTTTCACTTGTCATGATACCAGTTCATAATTACTCATTGCTAGCTGGTTTCATTTTTTGTCATGTCATGGTGTTGGCTCAAGTGTCTAAAAATTGTAGATTGGTGTAGAGTCACTTTCCTTATTCTTAATGTTTCCTTTTGTAACAGAGTCTATTGTCACATACACCATGACATTTTCAATTACTACTGAATGTATTTGATGTTTGTTATGTTGTTGATGAAAAAATAAAAACCATTTTCCCTTTGAAATGAACTGGATGTAATTTGTCTGTTTATTCCTTCATAATGCACCATTTTGTCACAAAGAAACGCAATGGTACAATCATGAGATTGACTGTACTTTAAAATTTAAATATGAAAGTTCTAACCAAGAGAAGCAGCAAGTTTTAAAAATTTTAAAAAGTTATAAACTTGAACTGTGGTACTAGTTAAATGGAGTACAAACATTAACCATTCCTCACATTGATGATCATGGATAAAGTCAGGAAATATATAAGAAATATCAACATTAATGTCCACTCTGTAACATTTTTCTCCAACTGGTGATACCTTTTCCCTTCACTCTCTGAGAACTGGCACTGTGGAAGTTCCTTGTAGAGTAAATCTTGAGTTGTATATGCAAATGGCTGGGGCTTCTTTGTGGGGAAATCATAGAGGATGAACCTGCACGATAACTAGATCCTGTTCTGAAGAGTTCTGAGATTTGACTTTCTTTCTTCTACCCTTCCTTATAGGCACAAATTGTTTCTTGTCAGAGTCGTCATCTTGGTGAAAACCGTCACTTGATTGCTCATCAGTGGGGGATCTGTTATCTGATGCTCTTTTCACTGGCTCCCCGTCAGACAACTGCAGTGACAAAGAAGACTCTACTGCCATGTCAGGGTTACATGAATCCCTTGTTTGGACCAGTGGAAATAGTTGATTAAATCAGGCTCCCAGCTGCTTTTCATCTTGAACCCTTTTTACGCCCGTCGAAGTCTCGACAGTCAATACAATTTTTCAGCATTCAGATATGCATTTCTTGAACTTTTTCCTGAGCTGATCTACGCAGAACAGGAAGCTACCATCTTCATGTCTCTGGTCCAATTCTTTGAGCACATTAGCATGTATTTCTGCATTCTTCGAATTTTTCGTGTTAGTGAAAATATATCGCTCTTCCCATACACTTCTCCGTCCCTTTCGCTTCTTTTTCTTCGAGCTGCACACTTCACTCTGTTCACTAACTCCCGTGCTGGATTCGTTTGAATCAGTCTCTTTGTCGTTATCAGGAGAATAGGTGTCGAACGATGCAGGTGAATATCTCTTTGAAAAAGTTCGGGAAACATCGGTGGAGCTATTGTCACTGTCAGATTCCTCTTCTCTCCACCTTTCGGGCAAATCGGGTAAATCTTTGTGCCATGGCGCCATTTTGTCTTTCTGTTTTTTATTAGTGCGCATGCGTAATAGTATGCAAATAATGCAACATACAATAAATTAATTTATGAATTTAGTTCGGCGCGACAGCAGCACAACGTTTGAAACCAAGTCGTGCTACTGCCGTGCGGTACAGTAAGGCCTGCCGCACTAAGTAGTCGCGCCGCAAAAATTTTTTTTGGGATCACTTTCTGAAGGAGCTTAGAAACCAGGCTCAACTCAGTAGCCAAGCCTACTGAATTTGTGCCCAGGCCTTTGCTTGCTTGCATGACCTTTTTTGCCACTAGCTTATGTCGTCACATTGGAGTATACAAGAAACATCGGCGTGTAGTAAACACAAACTCAAATTTTCACAGCAGTAAAGTGAAAAACGTTTTGAGACCGAAGGTAAGTAAGTATTTTAGTGTTTTTCAACCTAAATTTAGTGTTTTGCTTTGTAATTTTACAACGTACAGTGAATTGTCAAATTAATAACTCGAAAAACCTTCAGCCAAAATTAAACTCTTTATTGATAACCTTATACTTTCTTGATCTGATATCCCAATTAGCGATAACACCAGAAATTATTTGCTTTTGTGATATAAAATATATAACTTGTGAAAGTACGTTGTCACAAAATAATGCACCTAGCAGTAATTAATCTGAATACGCAAAACTTATTTAATGTTTAAATTGTTCCCTGGACAGCCTGGACATCCTGGACATCTGAGGCAACTGATAATGCATTTTGGGAGTGGTGGGGATGTTTGCTTCATAGTGGCTATGGCTGTACCTTTCCTTGAATCTGCCCTGTTGTTTGTGATAGTTTTTTCCATACATTGTATGTTATTTTTTTCAGAAAATTTAAGTCTGCTAGAAGAAAAATTTTTTACAGAAGAATCATTTTCCTACAACGTGTACAACTGTTGCTTAAATTTGCAGTATTACTGATATTTTTATGATAACAGAATTGTCACAAAAATTATTTGACATTAAGGTGATGTTGAAAACTGCATTGAGGTCTACTGAATATAGTTAAAGTACTGAATTTCACTCTATGACTTACAACTACAGAATATGGGGCTTTTTTATGATCATGTACCCCAAAAAAAAAGCTCTCTTGGCTCATTTGCATCAAGCCACCATATATAATGCAATCAATGTCTTGTTTTTTTATATCTTGAGTCAGTGCGGAGTTAGAATCAATATTTGAATGTTAATTATAATCATATAAATCCAACTGAATGTATTTCTTTCATTACCTTTCCACTGACTGCCAAACCAGCAAGCCTCAAGGCGTTAAACATCGAGGACTTTTTAAAAGGCCCTGTATTGTATACATGTAGCTGCTTTGGGGAAGGGGAGTGGTAAAGTTTGAACACAATAATAATAATGATAATAATGATAATAATGATAATAATGATAATAATGATAATAATGATAATAATGATAATAATGATAATAATTATTTATAATAATTAATTTTTCCCATCCTTTGCTGCAAAAAATATTGAAAAATTTGCGATGAAACTACTCCAACTTCTCTGAGTATTCATGTGCTGGCATTGATTAGATAAAAATCAGTTCAGATGAAAGCAGCTACTGTTATTGCTTCAATAATTTTTTAGCTGTTAGGAAAAATGGTTGTGTCCAATGGGGAATTGCTAAGTTCTTTCCATTTTTATAGCTCTCTAAAAATGGATTCAGAACTCATTCCAATGATTGCTCTATCTTTTAGGCCTAGCATTTGGTAAATTCTTTCTAACATTGTGTGAAAGATTCCTTCTTCTTTTCTGATTGTTGAATTTTTTACGAACTTTCATGTTGGCTTCTCTCTGACTGTCTGATAATTTGGGGTGACGACCACTTGGTTGTGCGCTTGCAGATTTAATTCCAGATTTCCTTCTGGAAATAGCTGTTGGCTGCACTTTAATTCTGGAGCTGTTATGTAAGACTGGTAAATAATTTCCACCCCTCTCCTTTCCAAACTGTGCATAGGCAGAAGCAAGTGAAGCAACTGGTGCCTGGCCCCTACACTTTGAAATGATTTTCCTATACAAAGTCAGGTAGTTATAGTAGCAGAGGCGAAAGTTGGTGTCACTTGTTCTGAGCTTGTACTCAATATCTTGGGAAACTTGTTGGTGAAGCTTAATGATTTGGTCAAGTGATACTTCATCATTTGGCAGAGTAGCATCTGTACCAGCATCAATAATGCCATCATTGGTTTCCATGGTCTCAGTTTCTGGAGAGTCAGGCATGGGTAGTAATGTTTGTTGTTCTTCATCCTTTTCTTGGTCTCCATAGAAAGGAGGCTTACTTTCAATTTCCTTTTGGTGCAGGCTTACAAACTGGCCAACACTGAAATTCTTCTTGTCTCCAATAGCAAGGATAGCAAGGTTGAATCTCTCCTTTGCAGTTTGGGGAATAAAGTTTATGTTGTTGATTCTTAATTTTAAAGCCACAGCTGCTTGGTGAGGGCATGCATTACCACTGACTCCCAGCTGACATGTACAGGTTCCTGATGTGCAATCAACAATGTATGTGATGGTACTGTTGTCATCTCTGCTTGGCACATGGAATTTGCATGGATTCTTTTCATCTATGGTTATGGTACTTTGACTAACAGAGCTTGCAGTTCTTCCAAAGCAACGGGCTGCAAGGTGTAAATTTTGTGGTTTACCAAAAGCCAAGGAGAGAAGCTTTCGTTGGAAGTACATTTCTAGGTCTTCAGTGATGAACCAGAATAGCTCAATAAGGTTGTAAGCTCTCATTCTTCTGAGAACTACACATTTGAAAACAAAGATCATTGATTCTGTGTAGTTGTCTGTATTGTTGCCTCTTGTTCTGAGATCTGTTCTGTAAGAAAGTGCCCATTCCTTCCTTCTATCAATAGCTTTGTTCAAATACCCTTGATACAGAGAATATTTCTGTAAAATAGTGTCTGATACAAGAAGGTCCTTGATTTCTTCAAATTCCTGGGGTGTCTTGGCAAACACAAGGTCTTGCATTATGGACATAAGGTGCTGCCTGTCATCTTTTGAAATGGAGTGCTTGGAGTCCACTAGCCACCGCCAAGTTGCTTGCAAAAAGTGAAAGATGCACAAAAGGAGTGTTGCCTGTTTCCAGTGCACTCTCAGAGCTTGCCTTTGCCCAGTGTCATCATCAGACATGAAAATGTCTGATCCTTTTTCAGGACCCTTTCCTCCAAAAGCATGGCTTGGAAGAATTGCTTTCAATTGTTCTAGGCAGCTTTCCAGGCATGATTGGGATTGACTTGAAGTTACCCAGACTGCAAGAGGTAGTGCTCCACAGGGATGATGAGTACACATAAAGTAAACTGGATTGTTATATCGATCAAGACTCCCTGAGGAATCCATAAATGCCATCTCTCCAGCCTGCTTAGTTGTGTGTACACGTGACATGAGAGGGGTGCATATAGATAATATCAAATGCTTTTGGTCAGCACCATTACCCTGGACCCTTAGCAAGAAACACTTCCCTCCTATGTTAGCATTTTTCCTGTTGTACTCCTCAACAATTTTCTCAAGTTGATCGAACATTGCTGATCCATTGGACGGCCCCTTCTTTTCAATCAACCATTTCCCATACAAATTGTTTACATCAGGTAGAGAAGGACACATTTTGCGGTCAGCCAATAGCATCAGAGTTACTGGATCCTTCATCAATTGAGTCTCATGATAATGAAATGCCTCTGAGGCACTCATGCCCTCCTCAAAGTAAGTACAGAATTTGTCTCTTGTTGCTGGCAAAATAGGGCAAAAGGAAGTTAAAAGAAAGCAGTGCACACTGTGATTGTGGTTCCACCAAAGGTCTATTTCACACTGATAGGGCATTTTCTTGTTTCTGTTGATCTTGATGGACATTTTGCTGTTGCAATCAGTCTTCTTCTCCCGTGCTTTCGATAACAAGTGCAAGTCACAGCCTTCCATGCTACTGTTGTTCTTGTGTGTCCCATGCCTTTTTTGTTTTCTTTTTAGTGCAGCCTCTTTTTCAGTGACTTGCTTTTTTGTCAATTTTTTGCGTTTGCATTGGCAAATATACCACTGTGCATAAATGTTGTGTTCGGATGGCACGAGAAACGGAGATATATTCTTTGATTTCAACACAGAACTTTTAATAACTTCTAACATGTGTCGTCGCCATTACCAGAAGTGATCATACATCGAATCATGAACGGAAGCGAGGCTGAATTAATGTAAACGTAAATCGAATACAGCACATCTCCCCCTTTAAGATAATAAAAGAGAAACTACTTAGACATACTTGTTTCTTATCTAGCGTGAAATTCAAAATCAAAACAACGTCAATCCAATGTCCTCAAGTAATCGTCATTTTGTTAAGAAACACATCCTGGGTAGCTATTGTCGTTTGTCTCTGCACTAAGTCTCACACACACTAGAATACGCGTTCATAGTTATGACTTTCTGTCTGAGAAACCAGAGAAAATCTGGCCAGAAAGTATAACTTCACTTATGGCACATAATCCTTCGATCTAGATGAGGGCTTAGATTGACGGCCAGATCTGGTGTACACTTTTGATGTGCCAGTTCCTTCTGCAGTGTTAGCAGTTTGGGGTGAAGGAAGTTTAGGTGATGGAGGTACTGGCACCGGTGTGGGTTTGGCTGGAGATGTAGCTGCAGCTGGGGTGGGGTGGTATCTTGTTGATCTGTACTCTATTCCTTCTATATGACCCAGTGTCCGTATGGATCACATAAGAACGAGGTGTGCACTTCTCCACTACTATTCCAGACTGTCCTCTGTCTTGTACCATCACTTCATCTCCCTTCTCTAAGGGAACAAGAGGCCTCGCTGAATGCCTTCTGTCAAAGTGCAGCTTCTGTTTGGTTTTGTGATTGTCTTCAAACTGACGTAGGGCATGATTCTGCACAAGGTTTGGGGACAGCTGAGACGGGGCCACCGGCACTTTGGTTTTAGCCTCCTTGACATCATTAGCTCAGCTGGAGAATAACCATTAGCCAATGGTGTCGCTCTATACTGTAGCAAAGCAAGATAAGGATCTTGACAGCCAGCTAGGAGACGTTTAGCTGTTTGCACTGCTCTCTCTGCTTCACCGTTGCCTGAAGCATGACCTGGGCTGCTAGTGACATGTCGAAACCCGTAATCTAAAGTGAACATCTTAAATTCCCTTGATGTATAGTAGCTGGCATTGTCAGATTTTACTTGATCTGGAATTCCGAATCTGGAAAATGCACGTTTCATCCTGTCTATGACCTCTGCTGAGGCGGTTGAACTCAGACTAGCTACCTCTATCCATCTGGAGTAGTAATCAATCATTACTAAATACAGTCTTTTATTGAGTTCATAGACATCAGTGGCTATGTATTGCCATGGTCGTTGTGGGAGCATGGTAGGAACTAGAGGTTCTGGAGGATTTTTCCTGTTAGACTGACACTTGCGACAGTTTTCAATTAACTCCTCTATATTCTTCATCATGCTTGGCCACCACACTGTGTTTCTGGCCAATGCCTTGCACTTGACAATCCCTTGGTGACCGTCGTGGATCTTATCCAGGACTTCCAATTTCATAGACGATGGTATAACGACTCGAGGTCCCATCATCAACAGCCCTTTAACCACTGTCAGCTCTGCTCTATGAGCAAAATAAGGGCTGACTAAACCCTTGACATTATGTTTTTCAGGCCAACCTTCAGCTACATAGTTCATAATTTGCCTGCATGCTTCATCCTCCTGTTGATGGATCATAATATCATCTAATTTGCTATCACTGATAGGCATTCCAGCTATGACTTGATGAGCATATAAGTTCACTTCCTCATGAAATGAATCACCTGATTTGGCTGGTGTTGGAGAACGGGATAGCGTGTCGGCAGTGTACAACAGTTTTCCTGGCACATGAACAGGTGTGAACGAGTATCTCATGAGCCTCATTCTCATTCGTTGAATACGTACGGGTAGTTGATCCAACTCCTTCGTGGATAGCAGTGGTACAAGAGGCTTATGATCAGTCTCTAGTATAATATCCTTTCCCAGAATGTAATCTGTGAATCGTTCACATGCGAAGGTACTAGCTAAGGCCTCCTTTTCAATCTGGGCGTACCTTTTCTCTACATCCAGAAGGCTTTTGGACGCATACGCCACTGGCGCCCACCTGTCACCGTGCTTTTGCAAAAGCACTCCGCCAAGTCCGTATGAAGACGCATCTGCTGACACCTTGGTCTCTAGTGAAGGATCATATATTTGCAACACTGGGCTGCTCGTCAAGCATTGTTTAATCTCTTTAAAAGCCTGTTCCTGTGCTGGACCCCAGCACAATGCACTGTGAGAGCTCAAGAGTTCACGTAGAGGTTGTGTCATAGTAGCAAGGTTGGGTACAAACTTCATGAGCTGGTTCACTGTACCCATCAGACCTCTTACCTCACTCACATTCTCTGGAGCACGCATTTTCAATATAGCCTCAACCTTCTCTGGAGAGCTTTCCACACCATTAACTCCGATCCGATGACCTAGAAAGTCAATCTGGCTTTTGCTGAATTGGCACTTATCCTTATTCAAGGTGACACCTGCTGCTTTCAGCCGTGTTAATGTCTGTACGAGTCTCTCGTCATGTTCCTCCTGGTTCTTTCCGAACACGACAATGTCGTCCATGAGACATACCACTCCTTGTTGACCACCTAGTATTCGGTAGATCTCACTCTGAAACTTCTCAGGGCCAGATTTGATACCGAAGGGAATTCGCTTATATCGAAATCGACCAAATGGTGAGATGAACGTGGTCAGTTTCCTTGAATCTTCATCCAAGCAGATTTGGTGGAAGCCCGCATTGGCATCCAGTTTAGAGAAAACCTTAGCACCTCCCATCAGAGCAATTGTATAATCCACTGTGGGGAGCATGATTCTTTCTCTCTTCACTACTTCGTTAAGCTTCGTGAGATCCACACAGATCCTCACTTTGCCATTTCCTTTAGGCACCACAACCATAGGAGAACACCATTCCGATGGTTCTGTGCACCGTTCTATAACATCTAGCTCGATAAGCTTGTCAAGTTCAGCTTTGGCTAGAGGAAGTAGTGGAATAGATATCCTCCTGGGAGTCATCACACTGTATGGCTCTGCGTTTTGCTCGATCTTAATCTTATATTCTCCTTCTAGCTTTCCTAAGCCTTTGAACATTGATCCGAACTCCACTGACTGGATAGGATCTGACGTAACTTTTCCAATGAACTTAACGACACCTAGATCTGCACAAGCGTCTCTACCTAGCAATAGAGAGCCTTTGGGGAACACATATATATCCTCTGTGATTGTCTGATCACCTTTCTTTAGTTCTGCAGTAAAGAATCCAAGAGTTGAAAGGTTGCTTTGATCTGGGCCACTAAGAGGCCTGTCAGGCTTCTGCAAAATGAAGTGTGAAAACTGTGTATCATACACAGCTTTGGAAATGACTGTCACATCTGCTCCAGTATCAACAGCAAATTTCAGGCTCTGACCTGACACCTGGACTTCCGTAAACAATGCACTCCTACGTTTCCTGTTGTTGATACTCTCAATAGAGTAACTTTCATCACTGATGCTTCCTAAGAAGTAGTACTCATCTGAGTCAGACTGCACTTCTGCTACCTCTTGTACAGACCCTTTTCCTTTACTACTCCTGCAGACCTTGCCCCAATGTCCTGGGCGTTTGCACTTGTTACATTTACTGTCTTTTTTGCAGGGCATCTTTCTCTGGGGTGCACCTCCTTTCCACACCACCGGCATGACCGGCTATTCGACGCCTGGGAGCAATTTGATGCACTTCTTTGCTGCCCGTTACTACGTGGTCCCTTGTCACGAGGGCCTCCTTTCCGCCTATGTTGAACTGCCTGCACTTTAGAAGTCTCTCCTTTTATATCCTGAGCCCACCTTCCAGAACATTCTTCTGCTCTACACTCATTTATCGCTTTTTCTAAAGTCAGTTCACCATCTCTCAACAGCCGTGCTCTGACCTTATCACTATTTATACCCAATACGATCTTATCTCTGACAAAATCGTCCTTTAGTTCACCGTAGGCACACGTAGACACGAGAGTGTTAATTTGTGATAAGAAATTATCGAAACTCTCACCTTCTGATTGCGTATACCTGTGAAACTTGTAACGTTCATAAGTAACATTTGTTTTCGGCGTGCAGAACCTCTGGAATTTCTCCAGAATTAATTCCGGATCCAGTTTGTCCTCTGCTGGTACATGTTCCTCCCCTTCGGGGTCACCTACCGCTGGAGCCCATGTGAAGCCAATGTAGATTTTCAGCGCCTCCTCACCTGCGAGATTTAGCAGTATAGCACTTCTCCTTTCCTTACTGGCAGTAGATAATCCAATG